TTTGGTCGAAGGCATCGAGGGTACATGGATTAGGGTTAAATAAATATTCTGCATGTGGGAGGAAGGTAAGTGGGAAAGGTGTTTTCACGCGTGCTTTTTGGGGGTTTTACTCGTGTTATGAAAAGTGGGGGAATCACGCCTGTTTTCTCAATAACAACTTTACGGAATCGGGGGACTTGCGCGTGTAAATATTTTGACATGCATAAGCTATTTTACTTAACAATTTTGACAGCTAATACAATCCTGCGTCTGTCGGCGATCATCGCCGCCATCTAATCGCTCTATCTCGGACAATACTGGTCTAAATTCACTCGTTCTTCGCCTGGCCCCACCGCTGAGTGATGTACTCAGAGGTGGGACCAGTACCATACATGCATTCGTGGCCTCGTCATCCCTCGGACGCGCTACATCATCGCCGCCATCAAAATCGCTTTATCTCGGCCAATACTGGTCTAAATTCACTCGTTCTTCGCCTGGCCCCACCGCTGAGTGATGTACTCAGAGGTGGGACCAGTACCATACATGCATTCGTGGCCTCGTCATCCCTCGGACGCGCTACATCATCGCCGCCATCAAAATCGCTTTATCTCGGCCAATACTGGTCTAAATTCACTCGTTCTTCGCCTGGCCCTACCGCTGAGTGATGTACTCAGGGGTGGGGCCAGTACATGCATTCGTCGCCTCCTCATCTCTCGGACGCGCTACATGATAGGCGTCAATTATCCGAACAGCCATGACCACCTCTATCTCGGCCAATACTGGTCCAAATTCACTCATTCGTCGCCTGGCCCCATCCCTGAGTACATCACTCAGCGGTGGGGCCAGTACATGCATTCGTCGCATCCTCATCTCTCGGACGCGCTACATGATAGGCTTCAATTATCCGAACAGCCATGACCACCTCTATCTCGACCAATACTGGTTTCGGGGTTTCCCCACCCCTGAGTGATGTACTGACAAGAAATGCATATATGTTTATACTTCCTCTGTTTCATAATACTGACACCATTTCGAAATTCACCTTTTTTCATATGGGTATTTCTCAGGATCGTCCATCCCTGTCCGATATTTCTCAAGATCGTCCATCGAGAAATATTATTATTCCAAAGGAGGGAAAGCAATTCCATTGGTCAAAAGTAAATCGGGTCAAACAGTAAAACCACTCGAACTCATTTCACGTCTTGCGGCCGACCACAGACTTTTG